TGTTTACCTACTTAATTCTAAATAAAATGCCTATGTTGCTATTTCTTGATTCATCAATTTTAGACATTATAGATTTATTTTTCACCATATTAGTTGAGAACTTAGGTCTTTTATATGCCTCACACTTCACCTCCTGGCCATCTCCCCAACGTAGTTTTAATTTAAATCAGCCAGTGCTTATATTATTACAATTATTAATATCTTATTCATTGCTGAAGCAAATAGTGCACTGTAATCATGCCTTGTTTCCTATAAAAAGTTTCACTTTTTCTGAACTTCCTAACTACCTCATTTTTTGCTTGATTTTTCATATAAAATTTTCCAAATGCCCCCACATCTCTGCCAAAGGCCTACTAGTAGTATTAATTCCATTTTTTTTGCTGTTGCTCCTTTGGATTTCCCTTCTCTATAAGTGAAATTCATCAGCTCACAAAACCCCAGCAAGAGCAGAAAACTTAAACACTACTTCAAGGTAAATCAGTTACTTCTTGTTGTAAAAACGGCCTCATTTGAGAAAGTATTTGGTCAAAATCAAGATTTAAACTCTCCTACCTTCTCCTTCTCTTATCCTCTCTAAGGTGATCTAAATTCCTAGAGGGGCTTGGGTATTACTTTCAAATTAGAGGAAGGGAATCGGATCCCTGTACTGTCTTCCATCTTTGCTGGCCTCTGCTGAGTTGTACACTTCACCCCACCTGTCTTTAGACTTCTCATGCTGATATAAAGGAGACGAGAGATTTTCGCAAATTGAGCTATATGGGGTAACTTCTAGTTCCAAACTGATTTGGCTTGAACTAAAGAAGCCTGACTTATGGCCTATCAAACATACATTGTACACATTGTACATCTGCTTTAACAGTTAAAGTAAAGAATGTGCTCTCTTAAGATAAGAATGCATACTTCTGGGGGCTGCCCCATGGCCAAGTGGTTAAGTTCACGCATTCCGCTTTGGCAGCCCAGGGTTTCGCCAGTTTGGATCCTGGGTGCAGACATGGCACTGCTCATCAGGCCATGCCAAGGCTGCATCCTACATGCCACAACTAGAAGGGCCCGCAACTAGAATACACAACTATGTACTGGGGGGCTTTGGGAGAAAAAGGAAAAATAAAATCTTTAAAAAAAAAAAAAAAGAATGCATACTTCTCCTACACCAGTATTGGTAAGACCCTATCGGTTACACTTGTATTAGTCCCTTTCCCAAAAACAGGGTCATGTTGACCTGCTAATTTGCAACTGAATACCTCTTTGAAACTTTGATGAATAGATATCCTGTGCTTGTTTAATGTATGTTCTCTGTTCTAAAAAGGTGTAACACTGTACTGAAAACCATGCTTCTCCAGAATGCCTTCTTCCTTTGTGGAAACTGACTTCCCGGGGTATGACCCTCACCCTGGCTCAAGTAAAACTCACCTTCTCTCTCTTATCTATACAATGGTTATTGGTTATTTTGCTTTGACATAGGGTTCCTGCCTGGGCCTCTGGTCTGAGTCCTTCTTTCTCCAATTCCAAGTCTCTTTCAAGTTTGCTAGCCTTCTCAGAACTTCTACATCCCATTGGGTACTTGGGAGCTCTCAGCTGCTTTGCCCGTCACCGTGGGGTGTGGGAAGGAATTTGTAAGGCTGCTTTAAGTCCCATCTGCCTGGGCACCTCCCTTAGCCATGGCTACTCTACTACTCAGGCACTAAGTTAGATGCTGGGCTTCTTCAAGTGTCTTGCAGTCCTCCAGGCTATACCCTGAAAAGTGAAACACAGATTTCTCTGCTTAGAATATCTCCGCAACCAGCTTATCTACCCTCACCTCAACTGTCAGGGCAAAGGCCCAGTGGAGTAAGATTTGAGAATGCTGGACCCTGTCTCAGGAACCCACAAGCAGCTAAACTCTAATCATTCTGCCTTAAGATTCACCACCTCCTGTCTGTTGGTTGAATCCTTACTTCTTTTTGGAGAGATAATGATATTTTTCACGATCATTCATTCTTCACAATTCTATGGATTCTAGCATGAACTTTTATTTTTTTTTAAAGATTTTTTAATTTTTCCTTTTTCTCCCCAAAGCCCCCCCATACGTAGTTGTGTATTTTTACTTGTGGATCCTTCTAGTTGTTACATGTGGGATGCCGCCTCAGCATGGCCTGATGAGCGGTGCCACGTCTGCACCCAGGATCTGAACCAGCGAAAGCCTGGGCCACCCAAGCGGAGCACACAATCTTAACCACTCGGCCACGGAGGTGGCCCCCTTTATTTTTAAAAGGTTTTTTTTTTTTGGTATGAACTTTAAGTATAGAATCCTGCTATACTGGCTCCTTGGAACTCACAAAGCCTTACCAAAACCTAGTTTTTGCAAATAAAGGCCTTGCTTTCAAAATATTAATTAAATAAGCCATGGAACATCTATAACAATGGAATACTCTGTAGATGAAAAAAATAAAAATAATGAGGGTACTCTCTAAGTGTTCATATGGAAAGCTATCCAGAATATACTGAGAAGTGAAAAAAGTAAGGTGTAGAACAGCATGCACTATAGTTTGCTACACTTCTGTGTGTAAGAAAGGGGTGAAAAAAGAATAAATCAATCAAACAATATTTATTTGTATTTTCATGAAGAAACACCAAAAGACTTCACAACAAACTAATAAAAATGCTTATCCATAGCGGGCAGTGGGGAAGAATGGGATGAATGAGCACAGGGGTGTGTATTAGTCAGAGTTCTCCAGAGAAACAGAACAGAGAGAGAGAGGGAGAAAGAGAGAGAGGTATTACAAGGTATTGGTTCACATGATTATACAGGCCGAGAAGTCCCATTATCTGCCATCCGCAAGCTGGAGATCCAGGAAAACCAGTGGCGTAACTCAAAGGCTGAAGAGCTAAGGGCGTAGATTCCTCTCTGGATCTGAAGCCTGAGAACCTGGAGCGTTGAGGACAGCAGGAGATGGATGTCCCAGATCAAGTAGTCAGGCAGAGAGCGAATTCAACCCTTCTCTGCCTTTTTCTGTCCTTTTCAGGACCTCAACAGTTTGGATGATGCCCACTCACACTGGCAAGGGCCATCTGCTTTACTCAGTCTACCAATTCAAATGCTAATCTCTTCAGGAAGCACCTCCACAGACACACCCAGAATTAATGTTTAACCAGCCATCTGAGCAGCTCTTGGCCCAGTCAAGCTGACACATAAAATTAGCCATCACAGGGTGGGAGCAAAACATCTCAATGTATATCTTTTTATCTCTTCACTTTTTGAACCATGGGATTTTTTTTTTTTTAAGATTTTTTATTTTTTTTTTCCTTTTTCTCCCCAAAGCCCCCCGGCACATAGTGGCATGTTCTTAGTTGTGGGTCCTTCTAGTTGTGGCATGTGGGACGCTGCCTGAACGTGGTTTGATGAGCAGTGCCATGTCCGCGCCCAGGATTTGAACTGACGAAACACTGGGCCGCCTGCAGCGGAGCGCGCGAACTTAACCACTCGGCCACGGGGCCAGCCCCGGCCATGGGAATTTTTATCTATTCAAAAAATGTGTTTAAGTTTTGCTTTCAAGTCTCTTGTTTTTATTACATGTTTTTAAAAAATCCATTAAATATTCAATTTAATTCAGATATTCAATTATCTCCTCAGTGACTTTAGTCTACTTTGTCTTTGATTTCACAATGGTGACCTAGTAGTTTTAGCAAAACATTAATCCTGGATAAATCCAACTGCTTTGTGGTGGTCTCAGCCTGTGGACGCCAATGCCTGGGGGTACTCAACTGGGCTCAGGTGAGCTTCCCACAGACATCCCCACTTTCCAAGCCAATGTTAGACTGGACCAACCCTTTTGGTTCTTATTATAATTGCAAGATGCCCTTCAGCAATAACCATTAGGAAACTTTGAAGAAAAAAAGAGTTTATTACTTACAAGCCCCTGGAGTGTACAAGGCACACCTGGGGCCACACAGCAAGGTTGAGGGTAGATAGAATGAGTGAGCAAAGGGGCCTGGGGTTCTACTTTTATTAGGGTCGAGAGAGGGAGCCTAGGGCTTCAAGGGCTCACTTTTCATTGGTGAATTTAAAATGTAAGAATGAGAATTTAAAGCACAGAACCAAAAAATTGTAGCCCCGGGGTCGGCGCGGTGGTGGAGTGGTTAAGTGCGCACGTTCTGCTTTGGTGGTCCGGGGTTTGCCAGTTCAGATCCTGGGTGCAGACATGGCACCACTTGGCAAGCCATGCTGTGATAGGCATCCCACATATAAAGTAGAGGAAGATGGGCATGGATCTTAGCTCAGGGCCAGTCTTCCTCAGCAAAAAGAGGAGGACTGGCAGCAGATGTTAGCTCAGGGCTAATCTTCCTCAGCAAAAAGAGGAGGATTGGCAGCAGATGTTAGCTCAGGGCTAATCTTCCTCACAAAAAAAAAAGTAGCCCAAATGGTCAGTTATTGAAATCAACCAAGATCTCTAAAACAAAGGAACCTCAGTGAGGGGAGGCAGCCTGGCTCTCTATCTAGTCGTGTGATTAGCAATGTGTTTATTTGAGAAAGTGGACACCTTGGCAATCAAAATTTAAGTCAGGCACTCGCACTACAAGAGAAAACCCAACTATCAGGGCTTACACTACACCAAATCTCCACCTATTTCATAACTCACTGAGCAGCTGAACCTAACTAGAGAAAAACACAACCAGATGACTGATCTCATTCTATATTTATAACCACAAATGTTTGAAAAACCTACTATGCCTTCAACAATACCTGGAAACTCTACTATATTTCCCTAGTTAATTTACTTTCCCACTCTCAGAGATGATTATTTTATACATTTTCTCTCCTCAAACCTCCAACTCTCCTTCCCCAATCCTCACATTTAGCTGATGACCTCCCTGTTCCCCATTTCACTGAGGAAAGAAAAAGAAAAAAAAATCAGCAGAAAAATTCCTCAAGGTCCCACCACCATATCAGTTATGAATTACAACCAGCTGCAAATAACAGATACACACATACCCCCAAATAAGGAAAAAAAGGGAAAAAGATCAGTGTGGCTTAAACAAGTTGTTTTATTTTCTCCTATAACGAGAAGTTCAGAGATAGGCAACCCAGGGCTTGTGTGGCAGCTCCACAGTCTCATCAGGGACCTAGTCTCTATCTTCCTCCATCCTTAGCTATGGTTTAGGATCGCTTTATTGTCATAAGATGGTTGCTAAAACTCCAGTCATCATGTCCACCTTCTAGGCAAGAAAAAGAGAAAGGACCAAAGACATATACCAGTTTAGTGAATCCTGTTTCTCAGAAGCCCCACCAAACAACTGCTAACAACTCACCAGAACTTAGTTACACAGACATCCCCAGTGTAGTTGAAACAGAAACTCAGCACCTTGCTCCCAACAAAACCTGGGTTCTGTTGTTACTAAGGAATAGGGGGAGAACAAGGAGAAATTACCTGTTTGTGGGTGTGGTGGCTTAGTGGTTACGTTCGTGTGCTCTGCTTCAGTAGCCCTGTGTTTGCCGGTTTGGATCCCGGGCATGGACCTACGGACCACTTATCAAGCCATGCTGTGGCAGGTGTCCCACATATAAAATAGAGGAGGATGGGCACAGACATTAGCTCAAAGATAATATTCCTGAAAAAAAAAAAAACAGAAATTATCTGTTTTCTTATTTCACTGGAGTGGGGGAGAGAAAAGAAGCAATCAGAAGAGAAATTTCACATGTTATCAATGCCAAATCTAACTGCCAACTTGAATCCATATTCATATACTCTGGCTTCCCCCATGTGTCAGTGGATAAACTGTCTTGCTCCTCTCCAAGGTGAATCCCTCCAGTGGTGCACTGGATCCCTTCCCGTTTCACTGGTCTAAAACTTTGCTCCTTAAATTATCCCACCTTTTCGCTACATCATCAATTTCCCCCTCCCTTTTGTTTATTCTCACTAGCAAACATTCTAAAATATCTCCTATCTTTAAAAAAAAAAAAATCTTCCCTTTATTGAACATCTCTATCCAGCCATTTCAGCTATCACTCTACTCTCTTAAAGCAAAATTCCTCAAAAGAGGTTTCTATTCCATTTTCTCCACTTCCCCCACCTTGCATTCTCTCTTAAACACACTCCAGCCAGGCCTCCATTCATCCCTACTGCTCCGCTGAAGCCACTCTTGCCCAAGTCACCAGTGACCTCTCCAGTGCCAAATCTACTAGCCCGTTCTCAGACCTCATCTTACCTAGCCTCCCAGAAGAATTTCAGTTATGACTCTCCTGCTTGAAACATTTTCTTCATTTGGTTTCCAGAACACCACACTCTTCATGATTTTCTTCCTACCCATAGCTGGTCCATCTCACTTTCAACTACTGGATCCTCTTCTTAATTTTTAAAAGCTGAAGTGCTCCAGGGTTCAGTCTTTCAACTTCTTTTATTTTATTTTATCTATTTACTTTTTTGGTGAGGAAGATTGGCGCTGAGCTAACATCTATTGCCAATCTTCCTCTTTTTGAATGTGGGATGCTGCCACAGCATGGCTTGATGAGCAGTGTATAGGTCTGCACCCAGAATATGAACCCACGAACACCAGGCCACTGAAGTGGAGCATGTGAACTTAACCACTATGCCACTGGGCCGGCCCCCTTGGACTTCTTTTAATCTATATTTTCTTCCTAGGTGATCTCATCCAGTTTCTGTGCTGATGACTCCTAAGTTTATCTTCACAATTTATCTATTCTGCACTTTATCCTACTGCCTGATAAACAAATGACAAGCAATAGGATATTGGAGTATACGAGGAAGCCATTTGGTGTAAAACTAATCTGGCCTGAACTTGTGTTTTCCAAAAGGGCCTGACATGGCCACTGAGCATGCATTGTATATCTGCTTTAAGTATTTACTATGTCCCAAAGACAAGAATAATGCCCTTAAAGGAAAGGATGTAACTTCCCCACATTGGCATTTCCTTAAGGATAAGCATCTCTCCCTAACTAAGGATTGATTGCTAACCTGCAGCGCTCAACTTGTGACCTCCCACCTTCAGACCACGGACCTACTGTGTTCACCAAATTGCTGTGCCCGCAAAGCAATCTTGTGACTATTGTAAAAGGGACGTTCCAGGAGGCCAGCCCCGTGGCCGAGTGGTTAAGTTGGCGCACTCTGCTTCAGTGGCCCAAGGTTTTGCTGGTTCAAATCCTGAGCATGGACATGGCACCACTCATCAAGCCATGCTGAGGCAGCATCCCACATGCCACAACTAGAAGGACCCACAACTAAAAGATACACAGCTATGTACCGGGGTGCTTTGGGAGAAAAAGGAAAAAAAAATCTTTAAAAAAAACAAGGGACATTCCAATCATATGTGATATATTGATGGTATATAACCACTCTGTACACCCCTACTTCTTTGGAGTGCTCCATTCCTTTGTGAAAGGACTCTCCCTATCTATATAGTTCTCAGAGTTGGCTCATAATACACTCACCCCCAATTTTGATTTATAGATTGTTTATGGATTATTTCCATCAACATTTCTAATGATCATCTCTACTTAGATGTCTAACACACTGCATCTCAAATTGAACATGTCCAAAACAAAATTTCTGATTCTCTCCATTTCCCTACAACTGTTCCTCCTTCAGTGTCCCCCAGTGTTGCTCAGCCCAAAAACCTTGGGGTCATGATTGACTCCTCTCTTTCTTTCTCATCCTACATCCAATGCTACCTTCAAAATATATCCAGAAACCCACCACTTTTTTACCACCTCCACTACTGGTCCACCCTGGTCCAAGTAACTATCACCTCTTATCTGCATTACTGCAATTATCTTTCAACTCATATTCCTTATCCCATTCTTAATCTCCTGTGGTTTATTCCCACAGCAGCCAGAACAATCCTTTTAAAATCTAAAAGAGAATGTCACATCTTTGCTCAAAACTATGTAATGGCTTCCCATGATTTTTAGAATAAAACACAGTCTTTCTATGGCTAACAAGAAAGACCCTTTCATGATTTAGACACTGGCTACTTCTCTGATCTCATTTCATAACACTCTCCCCCTCACTTCCTCTCCTCCGGTCTCACCAACCTTACTGATATTGCTTTAAAAAGACATACACCCTCAACCTCAGAGCTTTTGCAGAACTTGATGTTCCCTCTGCTTGAACTGCCCACTCTAACACTTCATTCACATCGTTGTTCAAATAACTACCTCCTGGGGCCGGCCCTGTGGCCCAGTGGTTAAGTTCACGTGTTCCACTTCGGCTGCCCAGGGTTTTGCCAGTTCGGATCCCAGGCGCAGACATGGCACCACTCATCAAGCCATGCTGAGATGGCATCCCACATAGCACAACCAGAAGTACCTACAACTAGATTATACAACTATGTACTAAGGGGCTTTGGGGAGAAGAAGAAGAAGAAAATAAATAAATAAATAAATAAAATAACTACTTCCTCAGAGAGGCCTTCTCAGATCAATCTATCTAAAATAGCATCCCTCTGTAACTTTAATCTCTTTTCCAGACTTTATTTTTCCTCATAGTACTTATTAGTACCTGGCATTATATTTCATATCTCTTTGCTTCATGTTCATCTTCTTTTTCCTTCACTAGAACACAAACTCCAGGAGAGCAAGGACATATTCTGCTCATTGTTATATCTAATCAACACTTAAAAAGAGTACCTGCCATGGTAGGCTCTCAATAAATATTTGTCCAATAAACAAATAAAATTAGAAGCCATATTGTTATCTATGTAGAATGGACACTTTCTAGTCTTACCTCTACTTAGCCTCTCTGCAGCATCTGACATTGTAGCACTTCTCCTTCTTGAAACTCTCTTTCCTTGGAATGTGAGACTCTCAGTTCTCCTTCTCTGATCAATCCTTCTCAGACTCCTTTTACAGGCTCCTTTTCTCTACTTTAAATATGATCATTTTTCAGATTCTCTACTAAGGCCAGTGAAGGGCATATTTTGAAGATAAAGCTGATAGAGTTTACAAATGGGATTGAATGTGGCAGTATGAGAAAAAGATGATTCCAAGCTAATATTGATTCCCATTCATAAATGAAGCTAGATAAAGATAATTAAGGTTCTAAAGTCATACCACTATTAACTGACAAAATGAGAATTGAATCTAGTAGGATCTGAAATCAAAGCCCATTTTCTTTCCCCTATACCATCTATCTGTGGAAAAATAGCATACAAAATGACAAATATAAATTTATACCACTGTAATAAATAAGAATAAAAGGCCAGGGGCCAGCCCTGTGGCCGAGTGCTTAAGTTCGAGCGCTTCGCTTTGGAAACCCAGGGTTTCGCCAGTTCTGATCCTGGGCGTGGACATGGCACTGCTTGTCAGGCCACGCTGAGGCGGTGTCCCACATGCCACAAGTGGAAGGACCCACAACTAAAAAATATACAACTATGTACCAGGGTGCTTTGGGGAGAAAAAGGAAAATTAAATCTTTAAAAAAAAAAAAAGAATAAAAGGCCAAATGTTTGAAAATAGTTGATGCTCGGTAAATTGTTGCTATTTGTTACTTTTATCTTTCCTTGTTGAGCTGGTTAAATGAACAAAAGATTTTGTGAACTTTTGTGTCTAGACCACAATACAGAACTATCAAAAATGCTACCGACTGCTTAGAACAGTAGCAAATTGCCATGATGTTAAGAAGCAAAGATGGGAGTGGCTAGAATAGCAACACAGGGTTTTCCACGACATCAAAGACTCAAAGCAAATAGTTACAGGCCTTGAAACAATCCAACAAAAGAAAGACCTAAATAATCAGTTAAAATGTTAAGACAGTGGATAACACTATGTTTATATTCCAGCAATAGATAACTATTATTTAGTTGTTAAATGTACACAAAGTGTATACATCCATATATGATGTAAACAAATCCACCCGTGTAAGTTTAGCATGGGTAAAAAAGAAAAAAGTAAGCCTTTCCTCTTAGGTACTAAGGAGGTAGCAAAATAAATTAATCTAGCATTATTCAATATTTTCCTGACATAAAGAAATCAGATAAGATTATATTTAAAGGTCTCTTTTGGCTATATTACTCTCTGAATCCTAAGGTATCATCAGGGATCTAAAAAAAAAACCCCTCAAGTACTTCCTCATTCACAGCAGGGGAATTCACAGATAGCAAGGCTAGCAAAGCTAATGGTTTTAGGAAGGTATCTAGGGAGGTATATAGACCCACAGGAGCAAATCTCTGCAGTGAAAGCTCTATGGTTCTGCAGAGAGCTAGGAGGAGGGAGGTGCCTGCTTGCTTTCAAATGGCTTTCATCCAGAGCACACAGCAAAATGGAGTTCAGTTGGGTGGCTCCCTAACATTCAGCCTTCCAGTCAAGGCAAGCTAATTATTTTCCATCTCCTTTTAAGAATAAGTGAGACAATATTCAAATATATTCCTGTCTCCTATAACCCAGTTTGGGAAATGTGTGCAAATTTGGTTTCTGAGTCGAAAACCTTTTAATAGGACTAGAAAAAATATGTATTTTATAAATAAATGAGAACCTCCTTGTTTGCATTCTAGGTTCATATGAGTGAAGACTACACATACATATTAACAAACTACACATACATATTAACAGTCTAAATTTGTTATTTGTCTGACATCAAGGGTGAAGGCTTTACCAAATCTGAATAAGGTAATAACTGAATATGAATGATGAATTTTTACTGTCTTATGTTTATCTTTTTTGTTACGGATACATTATCACTGGGAGGATATTTTGAATAGTGTAACAACAGTGATAGGTTTCTGCTAGGACCATTTTAAAGCCACACTTTAACCCTAACTAACCACCTTATGCATTCCTAAGGGTCAGCAATGTAGTTCATGGTCTTGGAATAGATTCTCTTGAAAAGAAAAAAAAAAAAGAGTCTATTCACTATAATCTGGGCCTCCTAGCACTAAGCTGTAAGTCACTGATCTATCATGACATAACAGAAAGCAGTTGTTATTAAATAAAGAATTTTACAAAATTCTGAATTACACAAAGAACCCCTACTTCCTAATATCTTTCAGTGTCAAACAATTTCCTCCCTACCCAAGTTTCTGTCATCTCTTCTTCAATTCAGCTACCAAATTTGAAATGGATCTTTAAATCTCCCCTTTTAAAAGCCTCTAGAGCTGGTCCACAAAGTTTGTGGTTTAGATCTAAAAATGAGGCCTACTCTGCCCTTTTGCTTTCTTTCCATTTTCTTTTATATGATAAAAATACATCTAACATAAAATTTAGCATCTTAGCCATTTTTAAGTGTACAGTTCGGTGGTATTAAATGCATTCATAATGTTGTGCAACCATCACCACCATCCATCTCCATAACTCTTTTCATCCTGTAAAACTGAAACTCTGTACCTATTAAATAGTAACTTCCCATTCTGCCCTCCCCCATTTCCTCGTAACCACCATTTTACTTTCTGTCTCTATGATTTTGACTACTCTAAGTACTTCAAATAAGTGGAATCATAGGGTATTTGTCTAGGAACAACAGTTTTATACATTGTGCGTCAAGCAGTACAGGACATTGATCCCTGAGAGAAAGGAAACAAATGAGGTGAGCCCTATGATTACGCTAGCATTCTGTCTGAAGAGGTTTTACACCGCAATGCAGGGAGGGGAACCGAGGTGAAGCCTGCG